ACATAACTGTTTTTATACACGATTTAAATTTGCTTTTGGCGGTATGGAATCGTATGCAATTTGTACATAATACTGCCGCTAGGCCTAGATGCAGTCTATAGAAGTTGTGGACTCGATTAGGTAACTTCCCGTTGCTCCTGTTATGTAATGGAAAATGGTCAGAAACGTTTTTATTGGATTTTTGTAATAAAAAGTGGTGCGTGGACACATATTTTGTACAAACCATCAAATTGCCAGAGATGCGAACGGTTTTTTCGGTCAGCGTATTAATTTGACCCAATGCACTGTTTCAAAGTTGCGATGGGTGATATCCAATGAAAGCTGGTATATACAAGAAATAATTTCAATATAAATATAATTGAATTTGTATTAAATGCTTTCACATTTGTATACATTAAGCAAATTTGCACAACATAGTGTAGTAGAAATTGTAGTAGAATATTGCTAATAGTATGACCTAGATTTAGAGAATACAACCATGTAAATGCAAATGACCTAGATTTAAGAAATATAACGCTGTAGAAATACAACTCTGTAACTCTGGAAAGCGTCTGGGTAGAGACAAGAAAAACGAAATAAAGACATTCGTAAAATAGCATCGAGCAAGTGAACTTGTGCGTTTTCGTGATCGGCCTCTATCTTATTGCCTGCTACAGTCGCCAGAAGTGGGATTGATATCCCAACTTTTTTTTAGTGTTTTGCGCCCTCGTACAAATATTTGGAGTGCATAATACCTGCTAGAGTTGCGGCAAAATTAAAAAGTTTATAGCGCTCACGGACACAAAGAAGAAAAAAAAAACTAACTATATACGCGTAACAAAATTAAAGCCAGCGTGCAAAATGGAGGACACCAATTGCCCGATTGCTGCCGAAGAAGCAGGTGTTGGTGAGGCTTCGCTCGGACATGATGACATACGCACACTTAAAGCAGAGCTAAGTAAACTAAAAAATCAATGCGAAATTCTAACGCACCAATCATATAGTAAGCCAAAGTGTATTATATCGGATAGGGGTACTAGTTTTACTTCAGGAGATTTTAAGGAATTTACAGAAACGCATAATATTCAGCATATTAAGATTGAACCGGTTCTCCGCAAGCAAACGGCCAAGTTGAGCGCGTGAACAGAACTACTGGGCCAATGATAGCAAAATTGATTGATTGATTAAAAAGAGGGTACAAATTGGGTTTCTGTGCTAGAACACGTTGAATTTTGTCTCAATAACACGCATCACAGATCTATTAACGAACA